AAAGAACTATCCAGAATGTCAAATACCAACCTGTTCGGAAGCCTGACGGATGAATTGCAGCAACTTTAATTCCCCATTTGGAAAGCTCTTGTCTCATTACTCCAGAAAACATGGACAGAGCTGCTTTTGATGCACCGTATGCAGCGTACCTTGGTAGTGGAATGCCTCCTGCAGGAGCAATATAAACATGATAAAGCTCGACGGTGGCTCTTTCCAGCCTTTATTTTCGTGATTTAGAAGGAAGATTATAGCGCAACCAAAATTATGTGGCTCTCACTGAGGTTAAAGACAAGTCAGTGAGGGAATCATTTCTTTCCGGAGGTTAAAAAAAAGTGAAAGTTGTAAATTAGCTTCTGCTTGTAGCAGTTACGCTCAGTAACACCTGATAAGACACCTTGCATGGCAGAAAAAATAAACTGTATTGCATTTAAGGGCAAAAACTGCTGAAAATTACGACTGTTGGTTTCAGAAACACAGATAATGTTTTAGTTCATATAAATAGTGAAGCAATAGTTTAATGCCGCTGTTCTTGTCACTCTAACACGAATTTCAAGCTCCTACTATAAACCACAGTTACAACAAAGTAAGTAATCTCAATTCTAGCTTTATAAAGTGAACTTATCTTCCAGTTGTTTCCAGCTAGTTTCAGAAAGACCAGAGACAACAGTGCAAGAGTGGGGAAAACCTCTGTGGACAAACCAAAGCTGGAATCACATCCCCTGGGCAACAGGACCCTCCAAGACCCATCATAGAAGCAAATCCCCCCCTATAGTCATAGCCCGTCTTCTCCAAGCCCAGAAGCGTTTGTTCAGATGGAAAAAGATAGAAAACAGCCAGTGGTTTAGGTTAATTTAAAATAAATCCGTATGCTTACAAACCAAAAGCTTCCAGAAAAATATATCTTCCAAATACAGAGATTTCCTCTGTTCCAAAAACTGGCAGACTGTCACTTCTTCAGCTTTAGAAAAATCCAAAGATGTTCTGATTTGAGCATCTTCCCCTTCTTCAGCCACCCCACTTTCTCCACAAGATTGGTGTTCTCACCCCACAGAGTGTTGCTGCCAGATTTAGGGGTCATCACAGCCACCACAGGCTGTGTTGGCACAGCAGGAAGAAGGGAACAGAGTGGGCAACCCTTCTCCTTGAGGCACATCACTCCTCCTCCTGCCTGCATGGGCAGTTGGGCACATCCTCCATTTCAAACATTACACATTTATCTCGGTGTATTTGAATCTTAAAAGAAAATACTTCAAGGCAGGGGAATTTTCAGGTAAGTCACTGGTGACGTTTATTGGGTTTTATACTGCCATGACCAAGTTATCACAGGAGCTTCTTACACAAAGTCATTCCTTTGAAGAAGTCAGGCCAATTATATGTTAATTATTTTTCTGTATGCATCTGAATAAGTTTGAGTTTCAATTGGTTTGAGCCAACTGAATCACACACTTTCTCCCTCTGAGGTCAAGCTAACCTCGAGTCCAGTTAAATTAGCTCTACACAGACAGGAATAGATTTGGCACAATGAGACCTTGCTAACTTTTCTGCTAATGTTTCACCAAGGACCCTCAGACCCTGCATTAAGAGGAAACTGTTTACCCAAACCAGCCCGCGTGCAAGAACATCTGTGCGAACAGCTCTAGTGCAGCAGGGTCATTATCAACTCCTGTAAGGGCAAATTACTCAGCACAGGGAAGCTCTCCATTTATCCCTGCAAGGCAGCTCAGGGATTCATGCCAAGAATCAAGACAGCTGCCCCAAACCACCAAAAGTGCAAGCTTTGCTTGTGTTCTCAGAGAAAACAGAGGCCTGTCCTCTGCCTCTGTGCTTGCAAGGGCTGGTGGGCAGAGCAGCACCAGAAAGGTCCTTCTGATAATTCAGACCCGATTTCCTGAAGTGTCAGCAATGAACCATAAACACAGGAATGCAGATACAAAACATACTTGGGATTAAAAAAAGAAAACAGAAGACATCAGTGTCAAAGCTAGGCTGAGGCCACATCCTCAACATAAGCCATGAACACAAGCTAGTGCTTGCACAAGCCACCTCAGCAATACAGCAGGATTTGAGTGGACACCAACTGTACAGAAATAAGGGTCAAAGATGACAAAACAAAGGAAAACTTGGGAAGCAGGTGATATGGTAAATCCCTGAGAGGTCTTAAACCAAAATACCCTCCAGCATCATGACATCTTGCTTCTAGCAGGGCTCATTTTCAAAGGAGCATTCTTGCTCCTCAGCTGTTGGCTACCTGATACTGTATTACTTCTGTCCTACATCTCAGCACCTCAGCTGTCCTCCTAGAATAGAAGGTCATGTTATAAAGGCATATATATATAGTAAGCACAGGATCCAATTTAAGGGACAAAACTGGAGAGCATATTAGATGCTGCTAATCATTTTTTAAAAAGTTATTTTATTAATGAAAAAAATACCGTTTTGCTAATAAGTTAGGTTAAAGTATTTTAAGAATATAAACTAAATATTTTAAAGAAATACAAAACACACAGTCTCTTCAGGTCCCAGGTTATTAGCAGACCATGCTCTAGGATTGTGCACTCTGGAAAGAACCATAGGATGCAGCAAAAAAATAAAACCTCCTTCTGCTCTTGAAGAATTACATGTTTCTCTTCAGCAGGTGTTTTATCATTGTGCTTTCTCACTTTAACTATAGTAATTGAGCCCTACCAAGGGTGCAGAGGTGGAGTTGCCCTACTGAAATATTTAACATTTATTACAGACTGTTACAAATGGCAGATGTCATGAACATACCCAAGATACATTTATGCCTCAATTTTAACTCAAAGTATTTTAAAAAAGGTCAAAATTTTAGCTGTAACCAGCCCAAATGGAAGAAAACCTGTCTCTGCGTTAAGACAGACAGCTTTGGGGCATCTCCATGATGTGGTTCAATGACACACAAACTGAGGTGGTCACAGACTTCTGCTGGTATGTGTTATAGAAATATCTGTGACTTACCACCCATCTTTTTGGAAGCTCACAAAGCTGTCACTCATAGCATCTATAACACAAGATCTGAATTTTACTGCCTTTTATATAACAGGGTATTTTTAGCCATCTTAAACTCTTCTGCTTTAAGGGCTGGTTTCTGGGAATAGTCTCCCAAACAGAAGAAAAACCTGCACTTATTACCTAGATACCATTTCCATAGGTGCATTGACAAGCAAGACTGACTGACACCTTGTCAGCCTTTTTGCCAAGGAAGTTATCTGTTTTTCCTGTTGCACCAGAAACTTATTTAGTGCTTTAGTTCAGCTCACCTGCCATGCTGGACATGTTAACCAGCCTTCCCTGGGATTTCCGAAGTAACGGTAGGAAGGTCTTGGACACCTCTACAGCCCCAAAGAAATTCACCTCCATGCACTGCCTGTACGTGCTGATAGGGAGCAGCTCACCATCGGCGGGGAAGCCCAGGATGCCTGCGTTGTTCACGACTCCCCAGAGCCCTGGGAAGAAAAGAAAGCACAGGGCTGCTATGCAGCAGGAAATCATCTCCATAAAGATTAAACTGATGAGCTGGGTGGTGCTTCCAGATCAAGGCAGAGATGCTCTGCAGCTACAGATACGCAGCACCCACTCCATGAACAGTCATCACCGTTTTTCATTTGTCCCAGAAACCAGGAGTCAATCTGCCCACAGACTGAGGGGTGGAAATGACCCCCACACAAGCCATGATGCCACCAACAGGTAAGAGATGCACCTTGTAAGCAGATACATTAGTACCCCCATTAGAATGACAAAAAAAGCCATACCTGTATTTTGCAGCTTCTCTGAGACTTTCAGATAGGCTTCCTTGACTTGAGTGGCATTGGTTATATCCAGCTGCAGGAGAGAGAGTCTCCGAGAACAGGTCCGTCTCAGCTCCTCAGCTCCAGGTCCATCCTTATTCAAAACCCCAGCAAACACAACAAAACCTAAGTTATCCAGGTATTTAGCCAGCGCATGTCCAATCCCAGTGTCGCTTCCTGAAAGCATCAAAAAGACACTTGAAAAGCTGGTGTTTCCTAAACTGTCATCTAAAAAAAAAAAAAAAAAAAAACAAGAAAATTGGAAATACATGAAAATGTAACCAAAAAGACGATGAAATAAAGTTGCCGAAATACATATGACAGTAGGAAGAAAGGTTCAGATCTGAAGGTTTGAGGAGCTGGACCTTTGCATATTCCACAAAGATTGATAGACCATGTCCTCTTGGCTCAGAGCTGATGGCATCAGCTCATGTTCTCCCACTGATAGACTCTTAAGACTTCCAGAAATAAAATGCCAGATTGGTTTTATACAAATATTCAGATAGAAACCTCATAACAGAAATATTTATGGGAAAAAAAAAAACAAACTAACAGAAAAAAACCACACAAGTACTTTAATTTGAAATCTCAGATGGACAAAGCAATTACAGGGCATTGGAATTCAAAGAAATTGTTGGGCTCTATTGCTTAATTCAAAGAAGTTGTATTATTTTATTCAGATATCTACCATCTGGATCCTTCCAAAAAATACTTTTTGGTCACAGGCTGCCACCAAGCCAAAGCTAAGCAAGTGTTTCTTTACCTGCAAAGGAGTTTAATGCTTTCAAACCCTAAGAAGCCTTCAGAATGGTATTTTTAGGCTAAGCCAAATAACACCGGATATTTCATTCATGAAAACTTGCATCAGAACATCTCTTATTCTCTCTATCCTGCTCCAAACTTATTCCCAAACTTTGCACAGCTAAAGCAATAAACTACTAAATGCAGGAAGCACCATAAAAGCAAACACACTACAGCAATCTCTGTGATTATGATTGTGCAGTTCCTCCCACAAGGTAAGAAATATTTAACAAATAATTCAACTGATCCACAAGTCTCTCCCCTTGACACAGAATCTTGCTGCCACTGTCCTAGGATACTTTCAAGCATTTTCTCTCCCAGCGTCCTTTTTCATTCCAGTTTCCATTCTTCCCATCTACAGAGAAAAACCTCAGCGAGGGAGGAAACACCTCACCCATCTGCCCTCCACCAAGACTCCCAATGAAGCAACACAAGGCTCTGCTAGAGACAGGGAAGCAGTTTATAGGGACTGTGCTGCAGGAGTTTTGTAAAGGACAGTATCAGGAGGAAAATGAGGAGTTTAAGAAATCAATGCAATTTTTACACTGTAAAGCAGAGATACATCAGTGTGCCCCACGATACTGCACCTCACCCTCCACTGTAACTGCGACAAAGAAAGCTCCTGGATGCTGATGTGCACTGAGATCCAGGGAGCAATCCCAGGGCTCGGCTATATCCTGCAATAGCAACTTATTACATAAAAGCTCAGCTTCCAAACCTACCTGCATGGCTGGAAACCTGAATGTGGGACCAAGTGCTGGGACTCCTGCCAGTTTTTTACTACTTCCTCATTTGTGAAAGAGCTGAAATGCTCCCAACTTAACCCTACCAGAAACTTATAAGGGTTAATCTGTGATTTCCGTCCACCAAGGTGGATGTTATTATAGTTATTCACATGCCTGCTCCTGCACTCAAAATCCATAGTCAACAGAATCTGACTGCCAAAGCCACTAATCTTAATCATGTTAGCTCTTCATTTCTGTGTTCTGTCTTTTAACTGGGGCTTTAGTCCCGAAAGGTGAAAAAAAAATTAATTCCAGGTGACTTGAAAGAAACATGTACTAAATGCCTGGACCAATCAGTGCAAGATGTTGAAAAGAATTACTTGTGCTGTACTTAGTTCTTAAAAAAAAAAAAAAAAAAAAAAAAAAAAGAGCAGCTTTCTGGCATTTTTGAAGTTGAAGTCTGTTGAAGATGCACCAGAGCACCACATATATCACACAGCTTCTCGCAGCCCTGGCCTGAAAGAGGACAAACCTGCATTCTTGGAATTCCCTGAAGAGACATGAAGAAGCCTGCAAATATCCCAAAGGCATGAGAGATTTCTGGGTTTGGGGGTGGGATGTCTTTCCTTTTCTTTATTTTAGTGAAAAACCCTATTTCTGGGTCATTTCATTCCCCCTTTCATCCTTCTCAGCAAGTACACAGCCACAGAGCTACGCATTAGTTAATTTTTATAACGCAGCTTTAACTTGGGAAGGGGCAGAGTACTCAAAACCTAGGGATGGGTATAGCAACCGCAAGAAGGAAATAAAAAGCAGTGTTTGTATGTGCCTGCTGCTGGTTTGTCCCCAGTTTTTATCAAAACAAGGCTGATTCAAGTTTCAGAGCTGTTATTGAAGTCCAGAGAAACTTTACCTTTCAACTCAAAATTCAAACAGTAGTAGAGAGAATTCATTCTCTCTATAGGGAAGAAATGGAGATTTCCCCCCTATATACACACACGTCTATGTAAAAAATAACAATCTGTGAATGATTAGAAGATTTATTATGAGAGGCAGTCAGTACTGGCTGTAACTGAATCATTACTGAGAATTTAACATCGGCTCACACTGAGCATCAGAAACGCCAAGTTACACACCAAGACTGAAAAGACCAAGTTAACTGGAAAAATTCATCCCACTCTACACAGAATAACCAAGGCAAGAATTTTACAATTCCTGCTACTTTGAATCTTCATGGTAATTTAATTTTTAAGGAAGCTGGCTCTTGGGTCTACCAAACCACACTAAAGTGCTCGCGTGCCCAGGAGCTTCTGTTTAAGGACACTGAAGCACTCACTCCCAGCAAAAGGATCAACAGAAAAGTTTCACCAGTGACTGGGACTGATCACATGCCCGCAGTTATTCATGTGAAAGGATTTTGACAACTGGGCACACAGTTTTCCCTTATCACGGTACTCCGATGAACTGCTGGCTTAAATAAATAACACACAGTGGCACCCGTACAAGGGACATCCAAAGAGGAACAGAATAATATTTGACAAAATCCAGGGAGAGAAGCACAGAGATTACTCCATCCTCCGGCCAAAGGCAGCCGCCTCATGAGTGATACGTGGCAGCTGCCCAGAGCACAGCAGCATTCCTCAACCCTGCGGGGCTGAAAGGGGAAAAAAGAAGAAAGTAAATCACCATTTCCTATTAAATGCTTGCCTCAAGTCTTGTCTAAATTGGATAAAATGACACCAAAATTGATTTAAAGGCACCTTTCACCTGCCCATGCAAGCAGACACACATCCTACAGTTGGTAAAGGGAAGAGTACTACAGTCCGAGCAATTTAACCATGAAGTGTGTTGAGTAAAACTTTCATTTCGGTTGATGGAGGGTTTGATTGATTGCATATCAGTCTGGAGTCAAATAAAGGCCAAGAGCAGCCTCCTCAGATGTGTCAGCTGTCAGAGGTATCCAGACTTGCATTTCTTCAGGACAGTTGCAGCACATGTACAAAGAAAGCACACTGACTTGCTGGAATATACCCAAATGCTGTTTACTGCTCTAATTCAAATTCTCTAGAGCAGGTAAGCTCTGAGAGAGTGCTCTTTCCTGAAGAGCTGCAGGCTTACAAAACTGAAAGCGCCCAAGAGCAAGCACAACCCCAGCATCTGCAGGGTGGAAAAGGAGTGCTCCCTATTCCCCCCCTGCCTGATACCCATCTTCATCTGATTCTCCCTGCAGGGAGAAACCCAGCTGGCAGGTAAAGCATGAGGAGAGAACTTGCTGCTCTTCTTGTCCTCTTTTAACTTTTATATTTTATTCCCATATTAATGCTTGCTAGGCAAATCTAAATTATTTCCAGGTGTCCCTATAAAACAAAATGAAATTCTGCAAGAAATAGCTATATAAACCAAAGTAACTTAATTTAGCTTTCCAGAGGGGGAAAATAGAAAATAAAACAACAAAAAAGGAGCGAGTTAACAGTGCAAGAAGCCGTTGGCAAGCACTTCGGTTTAAAGATTTGATTAACACAAATAAACAACATTTAAAGTTTCAGAAGAAATGGAAGAAAAGCCATAAAACCACAAAAATGCCATCCCTGCAAACTAAAAGTGGGGCTTGAGTAGATCAGAGTGTTAATAGAGACTGAATTGATTAGCTCTGAACTTGCACTGCTAGTAAAGGAAATTACTCACTCCCGAATGACTTCATACATCATTTCAAAGAGATGGCACCAAACCAGTGCCTTGAAATATATGCATGATACACACAGCATGCACCGTGTAAACGCGCACACCAAAAGATAACCATACATCCATAACCAGTGCAATAAATTCAAGTAAACAAAAGTAATGTATGAATATAATGTTCTGAGGGCTTCCAGGAATTACTGCTTCTCCTAAAAAATTAGACCATCGTAAGTATTCTTATGCTTTTTGCACCAGTTAGTTTCACAAGTAGGTCTAAAAAGCTACTTGTAAAGATTAAATGACACACTAAAAATAATAGCATCTATTAAGATGCTTTTCTACTTAATTTCAGAACGCCTATTTACCTGGAAAAAAACATCTCTGGGCAAAGGAAATAAAATGAGCCAAAAAAATAAAAGGAAACGTTCCAAGCATGCATTTCGTAGGTACCTAACCTGAGGACACAAAGTTTTCCAGCCCACTTGGGAGAAAAGCCAGTTTTTCCTTCCCAGAGCACATCTGCAGCACCTTACCTGTGATGAGCACAGCTTTGTTGCCCACGGGCAGCAGCACCCTGCCACCCAGGTACGCAGAGGAGACGAGGCTCACGGCACAAAACACCACCAGCCCTCCACCAGCACCCAGCATGGCCATGCACAGCAGCCCCAGCAAGGCAGGCAGGAGGCTCCAGACCAGCATATTTGCTTTCTCCACCGGGCTTCTCTTGGCTGTGAAGAGCATAGTTGCCCCAAGAAGCGTGGTGACACCTGCGCAGAGCCATCCAAGGGGGCTGCCGGTGAGAGCATCCATCAGCAGGGGCGAGAAGCAGGCACACACACCCCACCACCGGCTGGGTAAAAGCAGGTGTTGCTAAATGCAGCGTGTGTTATATAGGAGCAGGGGGTGGGGCAGAGAAAGAGGACTCTGTTTAAAGGTTTCACATAATCTCACTTACCCTTGGCATCAGCAAGAAGCAGAAGCCTTCCCTTTCTTACCTTTTATTCCTTCTGCCTGACAGCTCCACCTTCTGAACAATACGCTGGCTGGATAATGATTGACAGCACTGGGAATAGACATGATGTAGCAAGCGCTGGCTTCAGGAAAAAATTAACTGCTATATGTTTTATATGTTTAAAGTGCATTTTCCTAGACAGTGAAAAAAAGAACAGTTTCCTTTATGGGAAATGGTTGGAATTTCCTGCCTAAAAACTTGGGATGTAGTTTCAGTGGAACTTGGTTTTAATGGGCAGTGACAAAAGTGAGTCAGGACAGGGTTATTGACTCTCTGTAGTACAAACTGTGTTGTTAGCATTGAGCTTTATCACGCACGGGCCAGCCTCCTCTTTCAACAAAAAGCCCAAAATGACCTTCCCTGCTTTACTGCACACCTTTGGCTATTTACTTACTCCAGAGTCAGCAAATACCTACGGTTAATTGACATTCAAGGGTGCCTGGGGGGCTTGGGAAGGGGTGATTGCTGGTTTGCCATTAAGGGCACTTCCTTAAGTGAACACATGTAACACACCTGAGATGGTCAATTAAATATATTTAACAGATTTAACACCTACTGTGGTGTACTCTGAAAGTTATTTAAACAACATGAAAATTTTAAAATCCATCCAGCTGAAGGATTGAAATACAACCTAGGCATATTTAACACTGTTTAAAAATCCCTGCTAACTGGTTTGAGAGACAAGCCTAAGTTACCAGACAACCAGTTAACATGATGTATCTGGTTTTCCAAAAGAAAATGTAGTGCTGACCTATTTTATTTTAGACAGACACCGGAAGATTGAAGTGCAGGGTGCAAACCTAACGAGACACAAGCACATTTCCATTCCATTAGTCCTTCAGGGCTTTACAGGAAGACAGGTCTGTTGAATATAAATTTTTACAGCCAGTGAAAATGTTTACATACCTCTATAAGTAGTTTACATTAGAGATGAGGTCACTTTCTTAAAGGAACATTACCCTCGAGGTCTGCTTGTCATTCATTACTATTGTGAACACTCATTCATCCATCCTCCTACTAGTGCACAAAGTGTAAACTATTCTCACTTCTCTTTGCCATCTGCTGCTTCTGCTTTTAGTAGCACACTGGTCTCAAGGTCAATCATACTTTGCCCTCCGTTAAGGCATCTTCTTAAAGATTTCCTTGGAGAATGTTGCTTTCTCTCCCTAATTGGTCTTTTTGACCAGATTTGTTTTTCAGTTCAGGCTAGAATTTCTCACAGAACTCTTTGGGTTTCCACTTTGCTCTATTTTGTTTGCTGATTCAGGCTTTTTCAGCTGTGCAACGCAATGACTGCCGCTCCTGAGAACCCCTGCTCTGTGTGCTTTTGTGGCTTGGGTAAGGAATCTGCATTTCAAGTTCTGCAGGGAGGTTCTTGGCTACACGGCTTTTCTTGGAAAATAATTTCAGCAGAAAATAGGTTGGAATCTGTTTCACCAAATGAGTCATTAACCAAGATAGAAAAATTATTCTCATGAGTAAATACATATAGGAGCAGAAAAAATATGAAATTATTTACTTTGACTGACAGCTTCTGAGAGTACATAAACACCTTCATGCATTTGGATTTTGGTGGACTTAATGGCTACACAAGCACTTGTCAGCCTACAAGTCCTGGATGCAGAAGCTATTGGACTTGAATAAACAAAACTCATTTGGGCAAAACAGATTTTGCTCTTACAAATACTACTGAATTCCTATACAAAGGTTGAGATAATCCTCTGTCTTCAACCAGTTATCTATTCATGCACTCAACCTGAAGCACATGAATTGTCCCAAGTAAAGACAACAAAAATACTAGTCTGCCTAAAGCTAGGAATGTAGCCAAGTACCTTTGTGAATTAAGATCGCTGAACTCACAGGCATGTACTGAATAAGAGCAAAAAAAGATTATGTGCAACTGAAAATAAGGTTGTGTAACCTCTCCTTTGGCTTCAAACTATTTCTTTAATAGACCCTCAGGGAAAATAATTCCTGGCAAATAAAGTATGCATCCATTAAGTATGAGTAGTAAAGTAAGAAATAAATTCAGTTATTGGAGATTTTGTTTTTAGAAATATAGTAATTGTAAAGATTGTAAATTCAGAGATAGACAAATTCCTGAAGATCACTTAACAGTGAAGAAACAGCTGTAGTTCACCATTTCTCAATATTCAATTCTAACACAAGCTAGTAACAATAACAATAATAATAACTTCCTCAGCTAAATCTCCTGTTACTTTCTCAAGCATATGAACCCCAGAGTGAGGAACTTCTGCACCGATGGCCAAACTGAACCTGTAAATCCTTTTGGCAGGCACCCATACAACACACAACTTGGCATTATACAATCTTCAAAAGAAATAATTGCAGCCTGTATTTCCTATATGAATTCAATGCTTGCAGCAGCTCCACCTTTATTTTGAAGCAGTGGGTGATGTAGTAACGTGTCATATGAAATAAAGCCATGGGCTGTAAGTTCTGCCTTGGTATTTACATGAACTCTAATCACCCTTTGTAAATTTTCTGCAATAGACAAAACATCTTAAATCAGAGAAATCATTAAGATTATGAGCGCTCCTTTGTATTTGCAAAGGAGGTTTTCTTCTCTAACTCTCCAAACATCTATAGATCTCTAGGCTTTCAGGAACAGCTAAAAGTGGATTGCAGTCTTTCCAAAATAAGTCATTTTTTATCAACCCAATTGTCATTATTTTCCAAAAAGAGGACAGAATCAGAAAACCTAGAGGCAATTAGGTTCTCTTTAGGAATTAGCCAGGAATCATCTCTAGGTTATCCTCATGAGAAATTACACTTGCCTGCCTTTCTTCTGTCATCCAATAACATGAAACAGCTTTCACAGAACCATCAGTATTAGAGAAGAAAAGATACCCGTTAATCTCAGTCCACTTCTCTGACAGCAACAGACTCTTCCCTGACATTTCCTTTGATACATTCAGAGTAAAATTCTCGTCCTGCCTAGGACAGAGCACAGCATAGTGGTGTCTCAATACATGAGAAATAAAGATGTAAGCTATACTCTGTACTGGAAACTTAGTTTGTTTTTCCAATTAGGTTTTTATTATATCTCTCTATTCCCTTCCCTTCCCTACAGCTTTGGCTCTCTGAAGTTAATGGTAGCACCCCCAGAACACAAAGGATTTCCACATTTTTCTAGTGCACAGTTTGCTCATTTCTTTGCAGGTGCTTCCTGAAATGCAACTGCAATTTTGCCTGCCTTACTTCTGGATGGTTTCTCCAAACCACAAGTCATACAGACCATATCTACATTAGAAAAAAAATACACTTCTGCATCTTCTTTCTGTAACTTTTCCCCCTGCGTGTCTCCAAACAACGTCAGGTTAGAGAAACATCTGGTTTACATCGAACCTTTTCCACACAGTTTAATAGCAGACCACAAAACGTTATCAAATATTTAGATATTATCTATGCAAAAGTCACATAATCTTTATTGTACTTAAATTCATAAACAGCAATGTGAATATGGAGGCAAACAGAAAATCAGGCATACATGGTAATCAAAAGTCTGATTCAAGCATGGGTAGACAAATTGAGTAGCTAAGACAGGTAACAGTAGTGATGGAGTACAGACTTCAGCAATCCCAGCTCACCAGGGACTCCAGGTACACATGGTAGATATTAGTTCCTATTGAAATCTGGGCCCTATTCTACCCTTATAAATATTTAACCAAGTAGTGCTATCTTGCAGCTATCATAAACACATACCTTTGATCAGACCTTTAAGTGCAATCTAGAAATGGACCGATATTGTCCAAAGCAAGATTTTAACAAAAAAAAAAATCCTCATCTCCAAGCCTAGATGCGCTTCTCTCTTTTCCTCGAAAAAAGTCCCTTCAAAGTGTGGGGGGCTTACTACATCACCAACATGACTTGTCACTCATTGTAGATAGTGAAATCACATACAACTTGCAGCCCCAGAACATGTGTCTCAGCTCTGGGCATGGATTCTGTTAAGGGGATGAAAGAAAATGAGTAGGCAGCATCTCCTCATCACCACTTGGGTTATTAACTATGCACATCTGCAACATGCCTCCCCTTCCATCTGCAAACTCTTAAAAACATCTCTGCCTCTCATAAACAGAATTGTTAGCTTTTCCTCACAGTTACATCAGCTAGTCTTTGAAACGAAAGCCAAAGCAAAATGAGATGAAAAATGAGCAATGATTCAAAAAGCATTAAGTGATCAACCATGACAAAGTGTCACCTGCCCTAAACACATTCTGTTTTCTGTCACTTGAAGGACAAATCCCTCACTTCCAAATGGTGAAGCCATGTATTTTTCCTGTTGAGGAATCGTGACCTCACTCTGTGTGTAATCAATGACTTATGTTATTATTTTGATTGAATGTGTGTTTGCTACATACCGAATGTCACCGATTTCTCCTTTAATGCTGCTGATCTGAAGGGCATTCCCGTTGCTTTTCAGTGATGCTTGCGCTGCTTGTAAACTGCTGCAATCGTGTTTGAATGTTGTCAGCAAGACCAGCGCTCTGTCAGGAATGACTTAGTGATAGATGATCCTCCCGTGGAGCAGGGGGACAAACTAGATGACCTCTCAAGGTCTCTTTCAGGATCTATGGGGGGGGGGCGTTGACGGTTCTGTGGCAGGTAGCATTTTAGTTAAATGGTATTTTTTCTTTAGGCAATCCACCAACTATGGAAAAATCTGTACACTCAGTGTCATATTTTGTTGTTTTGTTTCCCTTTATTATATTGTCTATCTATCTCAGACATTTTATACCATGCAGTAACCTTAACCCCTGACTCAAAAACTGTT